AAAAGAGAAAGGAAAAGGGAAAAAGGAGAATGAATAATAAAGAAAACGGGAGAAAGAAGAGAAAGAAAAAGGAAAAAGAATAAATGAGAAAGGATATTGGAGAAAGAAAAAAAAAGAAAAAGAAGAAACAATAACAGATAAAAAAGGAGAAAGAAAAAAGGAATAAAAGAGAAAGGATAAAAGGAGTAAGCATAAAAGAAAGAAAAAAGAAGAGATGAAAGAATAAAAGTGAAAGAAAAAAGAGAAAGTAAAAAAAGAATAAACGAAAGAGAAAGAAAAAAAGGAAAAAAGGGGAATAAAAAGACAAAGAATAAAAGGGGAACAAAGGGAGAAAGAATAAAAGAGAAAGAAACGAAGAGGAAAAAGAGAATGAATAAAAGACAAAGAAAAAAAGCGGGAAAAGGAGAAAGAATAAGAGAGAAAGAAAAGGGGGAAAGAGGGAGAAAGAATAAAAGAGAAAGAAAAGAAAAGGAAAAAGAAGAAGGAATAAAAGAGAAAGAAAAAAGCGGGAAAAGGAGAAATAATAAGAGAGAAAGAAGAAGAATGGAGAAAGAATAAAAAAGGGAGGATAAAAGAGAAAAAAGTCGAAAGAAAGGAGAAAGAAAAATATAATAAGAAGAACAAGAGTTAAAATAATTAAACAAAGATAAAATAAAAGAGAAATATAAGAACAACTAAAATGTTCCAAAACCTAAATACATAAACGAAAAAACGTGTAAAAGTTAGAAAATGAATGAACGAAAATGAAAGAATACAAAGCCATTGAGAACGCACTGAAAATAATCCAATGTAGAAATAAAAGGCTGAATGAAAAGGGCCTTATAAATTACTTAAATATTGTGTTTATTGCGACAGAAAAAAATGAACGATAAAAGACGTAAGATAAAATAAAAACCCAACAAAATATGAGCAAACTAAGCAAGAGCAACAAAGGTTGAATTAAGAGCAAAAATCCTGAGGCGTGTTTTTTTTTTAAGATTAATTTCCTCGTCTTTATTTATCTCATAATGTTTCGTCTGTATACACCAAGTCCTAACTGTGATAACTGTTTTGTTCCAGAATATTGTCGATCGAATAGAACAGACATACGAGCCAAGTTTTTTTTCTTTTTTTATTGACCGAAACGTTTTGAAAAAGAAACAACAAAATGGAGGAAATTAGTTCAAATTAAACTGCAAACAATAATTAAAACATCCCGATACTGACGAAACGAAAAAAAAAATAAAAAGAATTTGGCGAAGGGAAATGAGACGAGAAATGATTCTCGTTATTATTTTGACGTCAACGATATATTTGAGGCTTGGCTTGAACATTATAAAACACAGGTATGTCTGGCAGAAATTGAAAATAGGAGGAACAAGATGGTTCATAATGGAACCTTGTTAAACAGCGCCAAAAAAACTGTTGAGAAACGTTTTCGAGAAAGATCAAAGTTAGAGCCAAAATAATGAAAATGGGAAAAGCAGGAATGAAAGGCCGATAAGCAATAAATAACAGAAAATATAATTACCACAATATCCGCCATGTTTAATCTTGAGTAAATTGAAAAACATATTCAAATACCTCAAGATTAAACAAGGAGGTTATTCAGCTGGAGAAAACCATTTTAACCTTAGTTATTTTTATCTTTAACGTCGACTTTCTATAAAATATCTGTTCCCAGCGTGGTATTTATGCTGATCACGATTCCCGTCTCAATGTAAAATTGTTAGATTCTCATTCAAATGACGTCCAATTTGTTGTTAACCGGAGCAAGAAATGGCTTGTAAGTCTTAACGCCTCCAAAACAAAACCGCTATCTTTTCAGAATGAGTTTTGCCTTCCATCAGCATAGCTGATGCTAACCTACAGGAGAGCAACTGATGGCGCCTTCTTGGATCTCACCATCTACACTGTTATGACGTCGAATGATTTTATTGAATCAATTGCTACATATGCCGCTAGGAAAGTTGGTTCACTGTATCGTGCTATATATCGCCAGTTTCATTGGAAGATTCAAAGAAGGGCCTGTAGTGTTATGCTTATTTGGCATCTCCTCTTCAGTCACTTTGTAACCGTCGTAATCTAGCATCCTTCTCTCTTTTCTACAAATATTTTCATGGCAATTGTTCTAATCATCTCTCATCTTTGGTAACTTATCCGTCTGAATTTAAGCGTACTACTAGATTGGAGACTAAGGCTCATTGTTTTAGTGGTGAATGAGCTAGATGTAACTGTGGGTCTTATTCTGGTAGTTTTTTCTCGCACTCCTTGCCTGTGTACCTCTCTTCCTGTTTCTTGCTTCCTTGGCACCTACTATCTTCGAAAATTTAAATGCAGTGTCAATCAGCATCTTCTGTAGCCTGAAACCTTTTCTTTTATTGTACTTACAATTCACTGAAGAATTTCCATACACGTGTTCCAAAATAAGGGTTAGTCCAACAGTATAAAAACTGCATGCAAAAAGACGACTAGGATACTTTTTCCCCAGCGGATTTACTTGTATGATGATCAGAAGAGGACAAGGTGGACTACGAGGACTTATTATTGTTGTTCCTGATGACGGTCGTCTTCGAGTATAGAATCCAGAGGTTAGCAGTGAATATTTCGAAGACAGTAGGAAAGCGTTGTTCAGGTTAGCAGTGGATATCCCGGTAAAGTAGCAGAGCGTAGTTCTTCCTTCTGTTCCTCTTCGCCTAACAAGATTTCACTGGACATTCGGATAGAGTAAACAAAATGGCCGCCTTTATACACGACGGATTGAATATTCTACGCCTTCTGATTGGTTAACCCTTCTCTTGGTGGACTATAAAGTGAGTCAAGTCATTTGGGCTAGCTCACTATTTACATATATACACAAAAAACAGAAACAATTATCGGTAGTGTGGTATAATTCACCTCACTCATTAAACGATCCGCCATGAACACCGGAATAAGACAGTTCAAAGTGTGACTCTGGCGATGGCTGTTGTCAAGAACTCTGTTTTTCAGGCAGATGGAGACTTAGTCAGGGCTCCGTCTTGCGACTGAGATACGATTGAGAAAAACAGACAAGAATTGTACCCAATTTTACAATGCGGGGGTTGGGTAAATTTTGATTATTAGCTCAAGTGGAAACTGTCGATTTCCCCACAGAAATCGCAGTGTCACATCTCATCCCTATAGGGGTAGAGGGTAAACAACTAGTTAATCAAAGCACGTCGGAGTCAGGCAATCTGCTGCCTGGTTCCGACTCTCAAGCACTCAATCTTCGGGAAGAAGTAGACTCGGTCGCGGCTCCGTCAACGGACGTGGAGTCGGTTAAGCAAAACCGCCAATAAATGTACCCGAGCCAATGCTTTCGTTGGCTGAACACATTTTGACAATTGGCCCGAGTAGAAATGCTCGGGTCCCCACACACATCTCCATTTTCTTTCACATTTCAGTGGGGAATCCACAATGGTGAGGGACTCGTAGGTTTACACGGATCAGAGGCTCAGGGTCGTAGTGAATTTCCTGAAGACGAGGACTGACATCTTTTACCCTTAAATTGAGAATTATGCTGCTTGAGTCAAAGTCAGTATGGATGCTTTCATTTCTTGACGGAAATACGAGGATTGACCTCAGTCTTCATCATCGTTTACACCAGCATGCTCTACAGTGATAGCTCACGGGAACTACTATTTCCGGCTATGCTGGCGTGACATCTCCTATCACAAAAGACGTCTATTTGTAGTTGCTCGAAATAAATGTAAACATATCCTCGAAGGGATCAAGACTGCATTACATCTAAAATCTTTGGCTCAGGTTTTATCAATTTGAGATGTTAACATGTTCTGTTGATCAAGCTGAATAGTTCGCCCTTAAACTCTTCCTTTTATTCATCTGGGGTATCACTGTCTGACTTCCCACCTAGAACTGTGTATATGTTAAGTGATATACATATAAACCCTTCTATCATTTCTACTATCATCTCTAACTTGCACCCCAGAATGCATGTAAACCTGATGGTATCCCTCCAATAGTCGTTAAGATGTGTCCACCCGAACTGGTTCCTGTTCTCTCTAAACGCCACCCCTTGTTTAACTGCCTGCTTGAAGTCCCAATCTGCTGTTCCAGGCACTTTCAACTATCGGCGTATCAGTCTTCTACCACTTTGGGGAAACTGATAGAGGTGCTAATCGTTGCTGAATTTGATTAAGCGTTTCACACTCCGGGCCCTTTTTGTCAGACAAAAAAAAATATGGCTTTCATTTCTCCAAGTCAACAGCTGATGTACAGAGGATAATTATGGAAAGAGTCTGTCAAACTCTCGATTCGGATGATAAAGCCAAAGCCAAAGCTGGGGCTTTGGACATCTGGAAAGTTTTTGACAATATTTGGCATACAGGTTTTCTCCATAAACTGAAAAGTTATGGTGTTTCCGGACAAATTTTTAAACTGATACAACCTTTCCTATTATATCGTGAAATTAAAGTAACCTTGAATGTTCACTTTTCCATTTCGACCCGTATTAATGCACATCTTCCATAGGGTTAAATTAAAACATCTTTCGGTCGACATACAAGTATATCGTCTCAAGTTTTTGATTTTATAAGGAAAAATAAAACACATGCCTGATGATGGATAGAAGACTATCCGTAAGTACTAGCATTTTAACATCAAATAAACTGAAAAACTACAGACAAGTTTTTCGTCAAGGATCAAAACTCGCACTATGGATGAACAGGATTTTAATGCATATATTATGTTTTCTAGCGATGGATGTCGCCAATAATCGCATTAATACTTCTGATTAATTCTATGTGTGATTATTCTGCATATATATATATATATATATATATATATATATATATATATATATATATATATACGAATATTATAAATGTAAAATATAAACGCTAATTGATAAAAAATATTATTGCGAGGGAAGGCCAAAAATATCAAAAAAAGTAAAAATAAAAAAATATAATGATAAACTGATAAAAGAAGCTAATATCGAATAATGGTAAGAATGCAAAAGGAATAAACTTCGGAATTCTATGTGGCCAGAGTTTCGCAATGCTGTCGCTCTTAGGAATCATATAATTATTGTCGGTAAGCAAAACCAAGAAAAAGAAACTCGAGCTGCGTGTGAAGAGACAAGAAGTGTTAAACGTGTGCTGTGAGAAATGTCACTTAATAGCTATAAAGTTATATTCTGTAAATCTCCCAAGTATAGGATATATTTCGCCGGCCTTCTAAATAAAGAAAGGAAATGAAAAGAAAAAAAAAAAGAAGCGTAGAACCAAATTTGATGGTGTTAAGTCGTTTGCATTACATGCTAGATTTTTATGTCAGTTTGAAATCGACGTAAGTATATAAAAAAAGAAATGCCATGAAGTAAACCCTGACTGTATTTTCACCGAAACACTCAACGTCCGCATTTTCATATACACCTCAATAGAAATTCTACTCATTCGTTTCACCTCCACTCCTTCGTTCCTTTAGACGACAGAGTGTAATATTAGTCCACAGACTGCACACGCTATGTGTTGTTTTAGTTTTTACAGCAAGAATTTTTCTCAGGGTAGAGCTGCTAACACCTAACAGAACCTCTTTCCAGACTAGTGGCTGACTGTTTTGCTGTTTAACCCTTAACTAGGGGGAGATGAGATGGATTCATATCTTTCCCAAGTTTATTGGAGCGAATGTCAATGCAACGAATTCGGCTGAAATTTGAAGTCATTATCTTTCACCTTACGCGCAGATGAGATTTAACCTACGCTCGCATCCTAACGTTTTCTATAGGAAATTGGCATTAAATTCGCATGTTTGGCAATTTCCTCACGTGTAAAGAAGAGACGTGAAACCACAGACTTAGGGTTCTACCAATAAATGCTAAGAAGATCATGGAAAAGTATATGAAAAACAAGAAAAATAAGAATAGCAAGGCAAATTATACCTGTTGTCAGAAAGAGACAATAAATAAAACGTAGGTAAACTCAAATAAAAGTATTCCCTAAAAATGAGGTTTAAGGTGCTAAAATTTGAATCATTAATGAATTAAATAATATACAATGAATACATATATGAACAAGATGAATAATCTTCAGTTCATGAACAGAAATAATCTTAATCATAAATCATAAAAAATAACAAGAATGAACTGGTTTCCTTTCTTCCCACATATATCCGCTAGTAACCTACTTACAAAGCCCGCCAGAAGAGTAGTGGCATTTGGGTATAAATATCGCATTTAGTCTTGAAACTAACATCCACCACACAATTTTGATTCCTCTGCCCATCTATCTATCTATCTATCTATCTATCTATCTATCTTGGTCTGCTCATCTATCTATCTCTCTATCTCTCTATCTATCTATCTCGGTCTGTTCATCTATATATCTATATCTCTATTTATTTATCTATCTCTGTCTTTTTATCTATCTATCTATCTATCTATCTATCTATCTATCTATCTATCTATCTATCCCACTCAATTCCTTATCTATCTATCTATCTATCTATCTATCTATCTATCTATCTATCTCGATCTTTTCATCTATCTATCTATCTATCTATCTATCTATCTATCTATTTGCATGTTGGTGTTTGTTAGATTGTCATAAATCTAATCATATCTGTGTGTGTCAGTCTTGATTATAGTTTCTGTTTTCATTTTAATAAACTTATAATATATCCCCTTTAAATATATATGCGTTTATGTTTTTGTGGGTATATATACATGCATACTCCCATTTAAATATGTGAATGCATACCTATGTATTAACTTGTTTTAATTGTCTGAGATTTTGTTGCGCAATGTACATTTTTATTTATTTATAATTCGAACGAATTTGATTGATTCATATTCTACGGATATTTTAGGTTATTCAAAGCCATAAAATATTTTTACATTGTAATAATCTTTTTGGTGATAATATTTGATTAACCGTTTGAACCCTGACCACCGCTTTACCGGTGGTAGAGAAAAATGACGTAATGCCCAGCCATTGGATGAAAAGTGGGGTAGATCAGGCGTTTCAACGTGATTTGACCCTAAGTCAAGTTTAATCGTTATAGATCACTGAAACATATATGAAATGAATACAACTGATTAAATTATTATTTTACTTGTTAATCTAATTGTTCGTCTAATAATCTGTCGTGTTTCTATATATGTCCTTCCTGGAATTTTGTACTTCATTTCTTGAATTATATAAGAAGTAAGAAACACAATCAAGCACAACGTACAACAAGTTATAACTATGCATCACAGATTCACTTCCCTACTTCACAAGATATTCATCACCTCTTTCAATGATAGTGCTCTACTTAGGAATGAAGGCATGTATCCCAGCCTTGCAAAACTTACCTGTCTGCTGATATAGTTATGTCCTTTCAGAGGTTTTAATTTCTTCGTCACCAAATGACGTAACACCGTCAGACTTACATATCTTAGTTCCAATGGAAGAGACACTGAGTGGAAAACCTTCGTATTTATAATAGATTTTGTATTGGAGTATTTTTGTCATTTATTCAGTTATCGTAAATCTCTATTGAATCTATTCGGGAAGCTAATATAGAGATAAAAAATGGGATTTATTTTGGTTGCTAATATGTTGCCTTTGAAAACAAATGAATTTACTGGAGAGCCTAATATGGTGCCCTTGAAAACTGTTAGATAAGTTGGAATGGCATTATGGAGCCTTTTAAAAATTGTTGGATTTATTGGGGAGGATAATATGGTGCCTTCGAAAACTACTGGATATGACGGAATGGTATGAACTTTTTGGGTGAATAAATAATATGGCGCTTTGGAAATGTTGGATCTATTGTGACGGAATTACGTTGCCCATGCAGACTACTGGGTCAAGTTGGGTGAGTAATATAGAGCCTTTGAAAACTACAGCATCTAATAGAGTGGTTAATATGGTGATTTTCAAAACTATGGGATCTGTTGATGTCGCTAATATGTTAGCTTTGAAAACTATTGAATTTATTACTGTGGCTAATATGGTGCCTTTAAGAACTATTCGATCTGTTGGGATGGGATTATGATTCATTTGAAAACTGTTGAATTTATTGGGGTGCCTAATATGGTGCATTTAAAACTATTGGATCATTTCGAATGGCATTAAGGTGCCTTTGAAAACTGTTGGCATTAAGATTATTCTGGATATATCGTGTTGGGTACAACGGTACCTTTGAAAACTTTTGTATGTACTTGGTGGCTAATATGGTAACTTTGGGTCTGTTGCACTGCATTATGGTGCAATGGAAATATGCCGGATATACTGGTATGGGTAATACGGTGCCATTGAAAAATTTGGATCTATTGGTGCGGTTAATATGATGTCTTTGAATACTATTGGGACAATTGGGATGGCTAATATTGTGCCTTTGAAAACTATTAGATAAGATGGAATGAAAATATAATGTTTTCAAACAATTGGATCCTTGAAATGGAATTATAGAGCCTTTTAAAACTTGGATCTATTGTAGTAGTTAATATGGTACCTTTGAAACCTATTAGATAAGATGGAATGAAAATATAGTGTTTTCAAAACAATTGGATCCTTGGATATACTGGGCTGGCTAATATGGTTCCTTTTAAATCTTTTGGATCTATATGCAGCGTTTGAATAATAATGGATCCGTTGGAATGTCTGTGTGCTGCCTTTGAAAATTATTGGATATTTTGGAATGATATTATGATTCCTTTGAAAACTAGCTGATCTAATGAGGCGGGCAAGATAGTGCCTTTGTAAACTATTGGATATATTGTCTAGCTTATATATTTCTGTGGAACAGTATTGGATCTCTCGGAATGACAGTATTGTACCTTTGAAAACTATTGGATCTCTTGGAATGGAATTATCATTTGTGAAAACTATTGGATCTACTGACGTTAAGATAGAGCCATTGATAACTATTGGATCTATTAGGGTGACTAATGTGGTGACTTTGAAAACTATTGGATCTATTGATTCTTCTAATATGTTGGCTTTCATAAATATTGGATTTATTAGTGTGGGTACTATTCTGTCTTTGAAATTATTGGATCTACTGGGATGGTTAATATGGTGCCTTTGTAAAAATAAAGGATCTTTTGTAATGGCATTATTGTGCCTTTGAATAATGCGGTATCTATTGAGTCGATTCATATTGTGCTTTGATAAATAATGGATTTATTTAGATTGCTAATATTGTGAATGAAATCTATTGGACCTACTGATAAGTTAAATATGCTGCCTTTGTAAATATTGGTTATGATGGAAACTATTGGTTCTTTTAGAGTGTCTAATATTGTGCCTTATTTACCTAAGGAATCAGTTGGGATAACCTTCTGGAGCGTTTGAAAGAAGCTGGATCTATTTGGGTGGCTAATATGATATTTTTGAGAACTATTGTATCCATTGCGATGGCTAAAATAATGCCCTTGAAAAAATTTTGTATAATCGAATGTCTAAATTTTGCATTTGAAAACTATTGGATCTATTGTGTTGGCTAATATTACGCCTTTGGAAACTAGTGGATCTTTTATGATAGTATTAGTGTGCCTTTGAAAACTGTTGCATATATTTGGTTGGCTAATATGGTGCCTTTCAAAAGCCTTGGATCTTTTAATGTGGCTAATATGGTGCCTTTGAAAACTATTGAATCTTTTGGGATGGCATTATTGTGCCTCTGAATAATGTTACATCTATCTGGGTGGCTAAAATAGTACCATTGAAAACTATTGGATCCATTGGTGTTGCAAAAATGGTTCCTTTAAAAAATATCGGATCTATTACTGTGGCTAATGGTGCCATTGAAAACTATATGACAATTTGGCATAGCATTATTGTGCCTTTGAAAACTATTGGATCTATTCGTGTGGCTAATATGTTGCCTTTGAAAAAAATGTATATGTTGGAATGGCATTGTGGTGGCATTACTGGATCTGTTTTGATGGCTAATATGGTTTCTTTGTAAACTGTTCTGTCTGTTGGAATTGCTTTATTGTGCCTTTGCAAACAGTTGGATCTATTGGTGTGGCTAATATTGTGCTTATGAAAATTATTGTATCTTTTGGTGTGTCTAATATTGTCCCTATGAAAACTATTGTACGTTTGGTGTAGCTAATAGTGTGCTTATGAAAACTATTGTATATTTTGGTGTGGCTAATATTGTGTCTATAGAAACTAATGCATATTTTGGCGTGGCTACTATATACTACTGAAAACTATTGGATCTGTAGTGATGGCTTATATTGTTCCTTTGAAAAATATTGGATCTATTTGTATTACATTATTATGACTTTGAATCTACTAGATCTCTTGGAATGATATCATGCTACTTTTGACAACTTTTAGATATCTTGGTGTGACTAGATGCTTGGCTTTTATATCTATTGAATCTATAGGTGGAGCCAATATTGTGTCTATCAAAACTATCGGATTTTGGTTTGGCTAATATGGTGCCTTAGAAAACTATAGGATCTATTGGCTGGTGTATATATTACGCTTGAATACTATTAGGTCTGTTAGATTGACAATATGGCATATCATTGGATCTATTGGTGTGTCTAATACGGTGCCTTTGAAAACTGCTGGATCTGTTTAAATGGTATTATGGTGCGTTTGAAAACTGTTGAATTATAGGGGTGGCTAATATTATATCATTGAAAACGTTTGGATCTATTTGAGACAAATATGTACCTTTTAAAACTATTGGATCTATTATAATGTCTAATATGGACCACTGGAAAACTATTGGTTCTATTGTAGTGGCTACTATGGTGCCTTTGGAAACAGATCACATGTGGTGGTTTTATGGTGTCTTCAAGATATGTTGGAATGGCATCCTGTTACCTTTTAAAACTATTGGATATATTGTAGTGGTTAATATTGTGCATTTGAAAACTATTGGTTCTTTAGGTGTGGATAATAGTGTACTTTCGATATCTTTTTGCAATATTGTTAAGGAAACGTTTTTGGCAGAATTCAAAGCAACATTTTCTTGCATGATTGAAATTTTAAAATTGTATATTTTTCTTTGTCCTATCCCCCTCTTTCGTTTCTTATAGACACGGGTTGAGCCTGTGCATTCCACATAGCTAATCTTTGCTTCTCAGATAATAAACATAGTTGTGAGGATTTCTTCACAGCAACTAAGTTTATTATTAGATGAATTTGGCAGCCTCATGCTCCATCTTTTTCTTCATTTTGTCTTCTGAATCCGGTTTTCTCTCACTATACATGTTTTCCCCCAAATTTCCAACAACAATGTACTGACCGGGTTCACCATTGATAAAAAGAAATTCGTTTTTTTTTTCACGTTATTTTTCCGTAGTCGATTTGACTTATACCACTCAAAAAGCCTTGTCTAAGAATTTATAATTCTTTGTATTTTCCATTACCAATTTTTCCAATTACCAATTTTGATGTGACCTATAATTTTACTTCCGGCAAGATAAACCCAAATCCTCACTCCAGTTATAATATGTTGTCTTCTAATCTTGTTCATTTCATACTTCCATCCCCAAACAAAATCTAACCCATTTATTTATTTGTACATTCATCAGTAAAGTTACAGTTAAGATATACGTTCGCCTAAAAGAAATTTTACTCTTAGGAAATATTTAATTAAAGTAGTCATTTCTATGGCAACAAACA